CAGATGAGGAAACTAAGGCCTGGAGATGTTAACTAATGTGCCCAGGATTACAGAGCTACTCAGTGCCAGAGACAATTTCAAAGGCTGCTCTCCTAACCATGAAGCTATCAGGGTTTATCAGTGAGGGTGCTATTGACATTTTGGCCAGGACAATTATTTCTTGGGCTGAACAATCATGTGTTTTCAAAGATCTTCAGTAGCTTTGACCCTCAGGCATTAAATATCGGTAGTGACTTCCCATCACTCTGAAAATCAAAACGCCCTCATGTATTTCCAAACTTCCTATTCTCAACACATTGAAAACAACTATTAAGAAAACCATGGCAAAATTCCAGAAACTTACAGTTAAAAAGAATTTTAGAGTCTCAATAGTTTAGTTTTAGCAGTTAATTTGCACAGAAAAAAAATAGGGATAAAGAGAACCAGGGGATGCTGGAATGAGTATTTGCTTGGTAACTGCGAGGTAATTCTCAAAAAAGCGTGTGTTTAGCACCTACCACGTACTGGAAAATATGTTAGACATTTCCATTCCTGTTATTGTTGTTAGGTGCCAACAAGCCATTTCCAACTCACAGCAACCTTATATATAACAGAATGAAATATTACCAGGTCCTGCACCAACCTCACAATCATTGCTATGTTTGAGCCCCTTGTTGCAGCCACTGTATCAATCCATCTCATTGAGGGTTTTTTGTCTTTTTCGCTAACCCTCCACTTTACCAAGCATGATGTCCTTCTCCAGGGACTGGTACCTCCTGGTAACATGTCCAAAGTAAGCAAGATGAAGTCTCTCCATCCTCACTTCTAAGGAGCATTCTGGCCGTACTTATTCCAAGACAGATTTGTTCATTCTTCTGGGAGTCCACGGTATATTCAATAATCTTTAAACACCATAATTCAAAGGCATCAATTCTTCTGCAGTCTTCCTTATTTATTGTCCAGTTTTTGCATGCATATGAGGTGATTGAAAATACCATGGCTTGGGTCAGGAGCACCTTAGTCCTCAAAGTGGTATCTTTGCTTTTTAACACTTTAAAGAGGTCTTTTGCAGGAAATTTGCCCGTTGCAATGCATCTTTTGATTTCTAGACTGCTGCTTCCATGGTTGTTGATTGTGAATCCAAGTAAAATGAAATCTTTGACAACTTCAATCTTTTCTCCGTTTATCATGATGTTGCTTATTAGTGCAGTTGTAAGGATTTTTATTTTCTTTATGTTGAGGTGCAATCCTTACTGAAGATTGTGGTCTTTGATCTTCATCAGTAAGTGCTGCAAGTCCTTTTCACTTTCAGCAAATAAGGTTGTGTCATCTGCATACAGCAGGTTGTTAATTAGTCTTCTTGCAAACCTGATGCTGCATTCTTTTTCACATAGTTCAGCTTCTCTGATTATTTGCTCAGCATACAGATAGAATAAGTATGATGAAAAGATAGAACCCTGACCCACAGCTTGTCTTATTTTAAACCATGAAGCATTCCTTTGATCAGTTTGAACGAATGTCTCTTGTTTTATGTCATGGATTGAATTGTGTCCCCCCAAAATATCTGTCAACTTGGCTGGGCCACGATTCCCAGTATTGTGTGATTGTCCACAATTTTGTCATCTGATGTGATTTTCCTATGTGTTATAAATCCTATCTCTATGATGTTGATGAGATGGGATTAGCCCCAGTTATGTTAATGAGGCAGGACTCAATCTACAAGACTGGATCGTGCCTTGAGCCAATCTCTTTTGAGACATAAAAGAGAGAAGTGAGCAGCGAGACATGGGGACTTCATACGACCGAGAAACAAGAGCCAAGAGAACATTGTGCGCTTTGGATCTGGGGTCCCTGCACTGAGAAGCTCCTTGACCAGGGGAAGATTAATGACAAGGACCTTCTTCCAGAGCTGACAGAGAGAGAAAGCCTTCCCCTAGAGGTGGCACCCTGAATTTCAACTTGTAGCCTACTAGACTGTGAGAGAATAAATTTCTTTGTTGAAGTCATCAACTTGCTGTATTTCTGTTACAGCAGCACTAGATGACTATTACACTCTATGTATACATTCCTCATGAGCACAATTAAGTGTTCTGGAATTCCCATTATGTTATCCATAATTTGTTATGACCCACACAGTCGAATGCCTTTGCATAGTCAATAAAACACAGATATACATCTTTCTGGTATTCTCTGCTTTAATATCCCTCCTTCCACATCCTTTCCTGAATCTGGCTTGAATTTCTGGCAGTTCCCTGTTGATGTACTGCTGCAACCATTTTTTGAATGATCTTCAGCAGAATTTTACTTGCATATGATATTAATGATACTGTTTGATAATTTCCACTTTCTGTTGGATTGCCTTTCTTTGGAATGGGCACAAATATGTATCTCTTCCCGTCAGTTAGCCAGGTAGCTGTCTTCCAAATTTCTTGGCATGGACAAGTGAGTGCTTCCAGGGTGGCAACCATTTGTTTAAACATCTCAGTTGGTATTCCTTCAGTTCCTGGAGCCTTGTTTTTTGCCAATGCCTTCAGTGAAGCTTGAACTTCTGTCTTCAGTACCATCGGTTCTTGATCATATGCTGCCTGCTGAAATGGTTGGATATTGACCAATTCTTTTTGGTACAGTGACTTTTCCATCTTCTTTTGATGGTTCCTGCATCATCCAATATTTTGCTTATAAAATCCTTCAAAATTGCAACTCGAGGCTTGAATTTTCTCTTCTGTTTTTTCAGCTTGAGAAAGTATGTTCTTTCCTTTTGGTTTTCTGGCTTCAGGTCTTTGCAGGTTTCATTACAACACTTTACTTTGTCTTTGTGAGCCGCCCTTTGAAATCTTCTGTTCAGCTGTTTACTTCATTTATTCTGTTCACTTTACCTACTCTACATTTAATAGCAACGTTCAAGAGGATATCATCAATATCATAGTCAAAAAGAATATTTCAAGATCTACCCTAAAGTACAATGCTGTTTAAAGACAAAAACAAACAAACCCGTTGCCGTTGAGTTGATTCCAACTCACAGCAACTCTATAGGACAGAGTACAACTGCCCCATTGTGTTTCCAAGGAGTGGTTGATGGATTCGAACTGCTGACCTTTTGATTAGCAGCTGAACTCTTAACCACTGCACCACCAGGGCTCCACAATGATGTCAGTGGTAGGATAATATCCGTATACCTACAAGGAAGACCAGTTAATATGACTATTATTCAAATTTATGAACCAACCATTAAGGCCAAAGATGAAGAAATTCAATATTTTTACCAACTTCTGCAGTCTGAAATTGATCAAACATGCAATCAAGATGCATTGAGAATTACTGGTGATTGGAATGTGAAAGATGGAAACAAAGAAGAAGGATCAGTAGTTGAAAAATATGACCTTGGTGATATAAATGATGCTGGAGATGACATGATAGAATTCTGCAAGTCTAATGACTTATTCATTGAAAATAGCTTTCTTTCAACAACATAAATGGTGACTATACACATAGACCTCACTAGATGGAATACACAGTAATCAAATTGATGACATTTGTGAAAAGAGATAATGGAGAAGCTCAATATCATCAGTCAGAGCAAGGCCAGGGGCCGACTGCAGAACAGACCATCAATTGCTCATATGCAAGTTCAAGTTGAAGCTGAAGACAATTAAAACAAGTCCATGAGAGCCAAAGTACAACCGTGTATATATTCCAACTGAATTTAGAGACCGTCTCAAGAACAGATTTCACATATTGAACACTAATGATCAAATACCAGATGAGTTGTGGGATGACATCAAGGACATCATACATGAAGAAACAAAAGTTCATTAAAAAGACAGGAAAGAAAGAAGAGACCAAAATGGATGTCAGAAGAGACTCTGAAACTTACTCTTGAATACAGAGTAGTTTCCATTCCTACATGTAAATAAATGTGCTCCCCTGTGTGTGTGTACGTGTGTGTATGTGTGTGTATGTGTGTTACAGAGAGAGAGAAACAATTATTATTTTCCTCATATTTTACTTGAATAAAATAATATTTAGAGAACTTAAAAATTGGCTAAGCCAAAATTTTTATTTAGGCTTCTTTCCACCGTATTATTGCTATACTGTGGCTATCCAGTGTAGCTCTCCTATTGGCAAAAAATTGAATTTAGGAACATGGTAAAGAGAGTTCCAACTGTAGTTATAGTCATAAAATAAGAACAAAGAGAAAGAATATGTAAAAATCAGTCACATTTAGGGAATTAGTGCAATATCTTTTACAATAAACACTGTGATAAATATTTATAAATAAGTGGTGCAGAGAAGGAGACAGAATAAGACCAGGAAAGAGAGACAGAAAAATAACTGGAATCATGCAACATCAAACAAAGTAAGAGAGGAAGAAGTATTAAGAGACTTTGGTGAATTGGGGAGAAGTGTGGTCAACAATACTGAATATTAATCAAGGATGAAGGTGATTAAGGATTAGGAAAAACATTTTAGAATTTAATAAGGCCTGTTGGAGCTGAAAGCCAATAAATTGAAGATACTGTCAAGATGTAACAGATTTTTAAAAGTGCAGCTTTAAAAATTCCTTGGGAAAACAACGTTTTCTTAAAAAAGAAAAACTTGGAAGTGGATTGAACATAAAAACAACATGTTAAGAAGTCAACACAGAAAAACTTGTTTACAATGGTATGAAGTATCTGCAAACAAGCTTCTAGGGAGTTTACCAGAGTGTTAAAGAGTTACAAGAAAGGATCTTCTTTGGCTCAGAGCCCTCTCAAGTATGTGATAGAGCTATATACATCTTCTGTGAGATAAATGTGAAATAATTTTCAGGAGGAAAGTTTTCCCATTTTTAGACACTCCTCAAAGACAGAAAGCTTTATTTACAACAGCAGGGATTCAAGTATATGTTAGAAAAATTTTCCTATACACACGTCGTTTAACAGGCTGTACCTTTTCCTAAATAGGAAGAGATCTGCTGTTTTGGAAAGACCAAGGCAGCCCTCTGATAGGAAGGGCTCCTAGTTTTGAGCTCAGTGACTTTAGATATTTTATTCTTCCTGTCAGTCTCCTGAGCTAGAGCAAAGGATGTGGCTTGGTTAAGAGGCGGGGACTGGGCATATGTGTGTGTGTTTTCTCATTTCCGCTTCCCCTTTTCAAGCTGGCAGCAGCAGTTGAATGAGGACAGAGAGAAAGGCACAATATACAATATGATACCTTCTCACTGCCTTCAACTTTATCCCTATACCTGGGAAGGGGCTTGGCTCAGCTGTGAGAACCACCTCTCCTCAAACTTGGCTCCCTCCCAGTGGACAGGTAAGTGCAGCTTACACCTCAGTTTTAAGGCTGTCCTGATTTAGAAGGATGCTAGGAGATGGGATAAAACAGACCAGAAAGAGAAGTAGGCTGTGAAGAAAAGGGAAAATTGAGAGAAACACTCCCACATCCTTGACCTCAACCTTAAAAAAATTCATAACCATGCCTCTCAGAACAAGGAAGTCTTTTTACTTTTTTCCCCTACCTCATAACAGAAGAGCCCTGGTGGTGCAGTGGTTAAGCGCTTGAATGCTAATCAAAAGGTTGACAGTTCAAACCTACCAGTGGCTCCATGGAAGAAAGATATGGCAGTGTGCTTCCATAAAGATTACAGCCTTGGAAGCCCTATGGGGTGGTTCTACTGTCCTATAGGGTCACTATGAGTTGGCATCAACTCGATGACAACAGGTTTAGTTTTTGGGGTTTTCTTAACAGAGAGGTAATTCTAAAGTCACAAAACATCGGTTCCCCTGATGACCTGAATTAATATTTAGGAATTTTTCTTACCTAAGGAGTTCCTTGTTGTATGTGCTTTTGCTATAATTTCAATCTGATTCTAACTTTGAAAAGTTCTTAAGAACTAAAGTCTCCCAGCTTCATTGCAGATCCTATTCTAGTGCCCATCACTCTAACAACTGGGAATACCTAACCTAAATCAATTTTGCTTTTGTGGGTCTGACCTCTTTCTTCAAGAGCTACAGAAGAAAGTTGTTGAGATTAACTGCAGCAGGATATATTGGGGCTAGATATAAGGTAGGATTTGCACAGCTAGGCAATGCCACGCCAAATTAACTGGGAGACTAAAGATATAAAACCACCCATCAGGATTGGTTTTCAGGCTATCTAAGAGATGGATAGATAGATAAGTTAACTTTTCAATGACCTGCATAATACTAGGGGTCTGTGCTCATCAAGGAGTCCCTGAGGGGAACAAATGTTTATCATGCTCAACTGCTAACCGTAAGGTTGGAGGTTTGAGTCCACCCAGAGGCACCTTGGAAGAAAGACCTGGTGATCTACTTCTGAAAAATCAGCCATTGAAAACCCTCTGGAGCACAGTTTACTCTGACACACACGAGGTCACCATAAGTCAGAATCAATTTAACAGCAAGTATTTTTGTGTGTGTGTGTGTGCTTGTCAAATACTATTTGTCTTAGTTTTAGCCAGGCTGAACATATCACCACCTACATGAGTTTTGGGGAGGGTACAGGAGGTGGAAAAATACTCCACAGTGGGGTTTTCCCATGCCCCTGCTGTGCTACTGAGCTCACCAGTGGGTGGAGGGAAAGAGGTGGGTCCCTAGGGCAGATCAAGGACAAGATAAGAGAATCCCACAGAAGTGGTTCGGTAATACCCTAAGGGTGTGGGAGATATACTCAGGAAAGCCCTAATGACTCTGTTTACCACAAATGGTCCCTGAGGAGAAAGGCAAGGGGACTTTCTAGACCGTATAGGGCAGTGCCTAGGGTAGGAGGTTGGATACTTTCATCTTCTGTGTCCAAGCCTCAGGCTCAACAGTCATTAGACTGGAGTGGTTGAAAATAAAGACCTGGTGTGATTCTCCTGTGACACGAAGCATTATTAGGAAGAGGGGGAAAACTCATTGCCATCGAGTTGATTCTGGCTCATAGCAACCCTATAGGACAGAGTAGAACTGCCCCATATGGTTTCCAAGACTAGAAACCTTTATAGAAGCAGACTGCCGCATCTTTCTCCCACAGAGCAGCAGGTGAGTTTGAACTGCCAACCTTTTGGTTAGCAGCCAAACACTTAACCACTGTGCCACCAGGGCTCCTTCCAAAGGGAGGAAAGCCGGGTTTATTGTCTATCTCTGCTGAGAATACTATCAGAGATCACAAGCTAAAGCTATAACAGGAAGGATGGGAGGAGATCTAACAAATGATTTCTTATTCACAGGCACCCACAGGAGTTTAGACATTCTTTACAATCATACTAATAACACTTTCTCATATTTCACTTGGTCTTTTGAAAGTTAAGATGCAATCCTGTGATTAAGAATTGTGTAGTGGCTGCAGAAAACCAATGCAGTCATTTTCAGTTCAAGGTTTATAATTTGTATTCTAAAAGAGAATGAAGAGAGTTTGGTCCCAGCACAGATCGTGAGTCACAAGGTCCACTCTGGGCTATGGTAAAGGAAAAAAATCAGACATTTGTTTCCTCTTGCTGATTGACAACTGTTCTGTTTTCCACTTAAAGTTCAAAACCAAAATGGGTTTTCCAGTAGCTCTGTGATCTGCCCACACCCAGGCCTAATACAGATTCTGCATTGAGGTTAGAGTTCAGTTAAATAAACTGAGAGATGAGGATGAGAAGAGATTGGTGTAGATGTGGAGAAAGAAAACTAGGAAAGAATAAAAATGAGCATATATAGAAAGAGCTTCATTACCAAAGAAGTAAAAACATGAGGACTAATGGGCCACAACTACCACAGCCTCCACCAGACTGAGTCCAGTACAACTAAATGGTGCCCAACTAAAACTGACTGCTCTGATAGGGATCACAGTAGAGCGTCTGGGATGGAGCTGGAGAAAAATGTAGAACAAAATTTTAACTCACAAAAAAATACCAGACTTATTGGCCTGGGAGAGACTGGAGAAACCCCGAGAGTATGGCCCCCGGACACCCTTTTAGCTCAGTAATGAAGTCACTCCTGAGGCTCACCCTTCAGCCAGAGATTGTACAGGCCCATAAAACAAAATGAAACTAAAGGGGCACACCAGCCCAGGGGCAAGGACTAGAAGCCAGGAGAGGACAAGAAAGCTGCTAATAGGGAACCCAAGGTTGAGAAGGGAGAACGTTGACATGTCGTGTGGTTAGTAACCAATGTCGCAAAACAGTATGTGTACTAATTGTTTAACGAGAAGCTTGTTTGTTCCATAAACCTTCATCTAAAGTACAATAACAACAACAAAAAAAAGAATTAACGACATGGTTTCACAGCACTAACTCGATGGTCAAAAAACCTGCTCATTCTATCTCCTGCCTCAAGACTGAACCACGTGTAAACCACCCCGGATGATCTGCTATTTCTTATTCTTAATGTCTTTTTAGCCTATAAAGATAAAAACATTTAGTGTCTCTCAACACTGGGAGTTTTAGATTAGTTTTTTTCAAATACATAACTTTACTATTTCCTTCAACAGTTTATGAGCCTTCCGTTACAATCATTCAACATGGTAGAGGTGGAAGCAAAGAGGAAAGAAAAGGACAGAAAAAGAGCTCTTAGATGGTTTTCTTTAGATATTTGTTCAGCTAAACTTATTTGTGGGAGAGACGGGGTGAGCAGAGAGGGGAAAAGGATCAATTGCCATTTATCTTGGTATTATTTGTCAGATGACATTCTCCTTCCCTAAATCAACGGAGCATATTGAATCCCTCTTTCAATGTGCTCCACTGAAAATCCTATGGAGCACAGTTCTAGTCTGACACACATAAGATCACCATGAGTTGGAATTAAATCAAGTACAACTTTATTGGTTTTCTTTCCTGAAATAGATTGAACTTCTCCCTTAGACCACAGAAATCTCAGAAACAACTTTTCACCTCTGCTCAAATGGTATACTCAGAGTCATTTTTGTTCTGATGATCTTCCAAACAACAGTAACATGGAGGAGGGTTAGAAATTAGGAAGGTATTTCTAATCTATGAAAGAATGTGAGAGCCTGTTGTAGGCTGGGGATATGTGAAACAGGGACAGTCAGCTTGGCTTGAGGTTGAGTTTGTCCTGTCCACACACAGAGAAATGTCGATTGTCTGGGGATCCCCCACTACACTTTGCAATAGTCGTAAAGTGCGTCTTGCTGTGGATGGAGAAAGTCTTTTGCACCCCATCATGGAAACTCTGTTTCCTTTTTGATCCTCCCACATTTGCTCTCATTCTCACCTCCACTTTGCAGGCACTGCTTGGGGGGTGTAAGCACAATAGTAACATAGGGGAAGAGAGATCTTTCTGAGTCCTTGGGAGGAGGCCTAGAGTGCTGAAGACAAACCCCAGCTAAGTCTTGGAAACCAAGAGGGATGGGAAGAAGGCCATATAATATAACAAAGAAAGCACAAGTCTGGGACTCGGAACTTGTGCATTTGAGTCCGATTTATACCTCTAACATTCTTTGTGACCTCAGACAAGTCTCTCTCTTCCTGTCTTTTGCTTTCTTTCTCTACCTTTCAGTTTCCTCAGCTGCAAAATGAGTGTTCAGGACTTGGATCCCTTTCATCACTAGGTAAGACTGAAGGACCTGTTTATTGCTTATTTTTCATTTCTGCTTAGCAGCAGCAGCCCCTTTTCACCATCTGGATTTTACATACTCTGTGGTACCTTGTCACTCACTCTTTGTTCTTCCTTTCCTTATTTCTTAAAATGTTCCAACTTTTATAAACAACTTAGACCGAGAGCAGATTATTAATAATAGCTATCATTTATTAAGTACCTCCAATGTATCAGGGGCTTAGTAGACATTATCTGATTCTAACTCCCAATAACCCAGTAAGTTTGTTACATTATCTATTTTACATATGAAGAAAGTTAGGTACAGATAGATGTTATTGTTAGTTGCTGTTGAGTTGGCTCCAACTTATGGTGACCCCATATACAATATAATGAAATGTTGCCCAGTCCTGCACCATCTTTATGATTGTTGGCATGTTTCAGTCCATTGTTGTGGCCATTGTGGGTGCCTTCTAACATAGAGGACTCATCTTCCAGCACTATGTTGGACAATATTCTATTGTGATCTGTAGGGTTTTCATTGGCTAATTTTTGGAAATAGATTACCAGACCTTTCTTCCTAACCTGTCTTAGTCTAGAAGTTTCACTGAAACCTGTCTACCATGGGTAACCCTGCTGGTATTTGAAATACTGGTGGCATAGCTTCAAGCCCCACAGAAACATGCAAGCCGCCATATTACAGCAACCTGACAGATGGGTGGTGGTCAGGTATAGAGGGGATAAGTAATTTTACCAAGGATACATAGTCAATAA